AGTTTTCAGATTTCTGACAAGTCATTTCAGATGTTTACTCTTAAATGGACAAAATTAAATAAGCTAAGTGAGCTTGGGTTAGACATTAGATAACTGGGAGAGTAATTTCATAATGGAAAGTAAAGTAAAGAAAAAAGTATAATAATTTCCACTCACACAGTAAGACATTCATAAGTATTTGATGGCGAAAATGAAAAGATAGTAACTAGAAAGACATACTAAGACTGAACAAATTCACACGAACGTTGGTATTTTCAGGGCGATTGTGTGGTCCCAATGAATTATGAGTACAGCCGAAATGTTCCTCTATAACAAATGAGGTAAATTTTGAAAATACATGGACAACAGTAAAAAAAAAAAACCGTAATAATTGCCAACAACACCACAGCAAAAACTCGTACTCATATCGTAGCCACCACAAGCGGCACTAACCCCGAATGGTGCAACACTTGCAAAACGGAAATCGCACCAGCGGAAACAGTGAAGTGGCACACACATGAATGCTTTATGGTTTATTTATTCAGTTTTTCACACCGCGAAACAAGTTGCACGTGAAGCCACCCAATCATGCTGCCAACAGTGAAATTTGTTCGGTGTGAGGATACGTATGAAGAGTTTCGCTATATTGCATTTGCTTTGCTTTATTACTTTTATTTACCTACAAAAGTATGAAATGTGTGCTCTTTCCGTTTAGCGTTGTTCTTGTTACTTGAGATGATTTTTTTCAGTGCTGATAAACGAAATGGAAATAAATATTCTTAAAAATGTTAAATTACTTTTCTTATGTGGCCTTATGAACATACTATATACGTGCATGTGTGTATGTATGTAAATGTGTGGGTGCCGTCTGCAGCATCTTAGAAGTACAACAGAGCATATGAGTTATCTGTCGAATAAATGAATACAGTGTTGGTTTGCAGGTCCTTTAACAAAGTCAAGGAAATGGCGTGAGTTATGGTATTTGCAGTTACACATGTGTGTATGTATGCAAAGAAGTATATGCATGACTGCAGGCATTGTGGCTGGTGTGATTCAAAGACGTTCTATATCAGTGGAAGCCATTAATAGAGTACCTCTACTAGCCCAACTCACCCTCCCATGCGTTGCTGCGTATTCAAAAATACTACAGCAAAAAATGTCTGTATGTAGATATATTGCCCGACGCGATAACGGAATGTTTTGTTCTGGGTAATTTTTTATCGCGAAACTTTTAAATTAAAATGCATCTTGGTTGTTAGCCGCGCACAGCCTTAAATTTGAATAAATGGCATACAATATTTCGTAGCTGATTGCCAAGACGATGTATTAAATATTCATAAAATATAAATATGATAATGTTGTCTTATTAATATTGTATATCCAACGAGCCAATAAAGACTTCAGCTTTAAAACACGAAGGAGGTTTTGCAATAGTTGCAGCCTTCGAGAAGTTGTATGGGAGAAGATGATGTGGAAGTAACTCAACTCTTACTCCTTGACAGTCTCGCGCTTGAGAGGTCAAGACTTAAACACTTGGGAGCGCATACTTTCAGACATCCCATCGAACTGGCGGTGTTTGAAATTAAACGCCTATTCAAATTTGCATTGGCTACTAAGCGTTTTGCTAATTTATAAGTTCTTACCTAACCGAACCCACTTCCTTTGAGAAAATCTTTGCTTCTATCTACATTTCCAATAGATATCACAATTGACTACAAAAATGCCTAGATCATATTTTTAACAATTTATTTAGGACTGTCACATAATATATATAGAACTACCATTACATATTGACAAATCATAAGGCGCATTTGAGACGATTGATTCTAACCACGACAAACGCCTATCGTTACTATTAGTTACTCTGGTAAGGAAATTGCTAATACTTTATAAATTATTCAATATTTTGATTGTATCCAAAATTAAGATGAAGTTCAGAAGTTGGAAAATATTAGCAGTAGTTCGGTTGTCCAAGCTCAGGACTCATATTAAAATTGCAATGACGGTGTAAAACTCTTAATAACCTACATTAATTTGTAATCTGATTTATTTTTTTTTATTTGTATCTGCTTAGCCTCTGTTATTGTACTAATTTGTTACATTACCCGCCTCTTCCTTGCTGATAGAAAGATTTTCTCAATATTATGGCTGTTTTCTGTTAGAGAAGAACAATCAATTGCTCATCATCAAATATTCTTCATGACTTCCTGGTTTGTTATATGTTGGTTATGGATGGATACTTATGCCGTTTTTATACATTTATACTTATATAGAAGTTCTAAGAAATGTGAAAAGGCCGGCTAAGAGATGCATTTCATAAGAACCTTATTCATGTAAGAAAGTAAGTTCATCGAATGTGATCAATAATAGAAAAATTAGACATATAGTATTCCAGACATTTTCACTGCATTACTTTCTTCATTAAGCTTGACCCAGCATAATATTTTATTTCGTGTAAAATCCAAAAAGTGTTCGATTTTACTGAAGAAACTCCCATACTAACGGATAACAACTTCACCTGCTTTTACTTTCTTTTTTACTTTCTTTTTACGTTTCTTGACATTTGGCTCTATTTAAAAGGATATGTGGCTACTGTTATTCTACGGTTCATAGCGTTTAATTCATCTCATATTGTACAATTGGGAAATGTAACACTCTATTTTAGAAGCATAAATGCAAGCAAGAGAAAAATGTGGTATTGATGTATTAAAAAAAAATTTCAATCAGTTGAGTTTAGCAAACACATCGCGAATAAATATTTTCCAAAAACATATAATTTGTTTTTATATTGCGTAATTCACTTACCACAAAGAAGCATATCCACATTGTACATTTCCGCCAGATCTATGCACCTGGTGTCTTGACCAATTAGTTTTTCCATACACAGACTTAATGTTCACTTTCATCAAACTTAATTTTCTCATATACATTTTGAAAATATTTCATTATTTGCACACTTTTTACTTGCACCGATCAATTCGAAACATGTTAACACCTGTATTTCACTGACTTTCGTTAATTTGCGAACACTTTCATGACATGAATGTGAATGCAAAATGCAATTTGATTGAATAGAGCGGCTTCTATTTTATTTATAATATATATGACACCTTATCAACACTAATTTACATTCATTATATCAAAAATTTCATTATTCTCATTTTAATAAACAACGCGAACTTATTTTGAACTTTTTGCTGCCACGTGTTTGCGAATTTATTGCACGGCCGTGATAAACACGATCAAGCCTTTGCCGATTAATATAAATATGCCTTCGGTTTCTGTTAATGTCAGCTATGTTAATACTAACAAATTCTGTTAGCTTACTGCATTTATGTATATTTGCAAATGCTTGTACTTACTGTTGTAACGGTGCATGTTAATGAACTGTATTTTGTAGCTGTTATATCCATTTTGGCTTGCCAAGGAATTAAAACACTTCTATTTTCAATTTTACATTTAAAATTTTTTATTTCTCGTTTTAATAATTTGATTTTTGCAATAAATTGACGAATATCGTATTTTTATTTTACAAATTTGAAATATTATATTCATTTAGTTTATTTTACAGTGCGCTTAAGAGCTAAAGGAAAACAAATAATTTATAATACTTTCGTATTAAATACATTACATTTTGTTTACTAATGCAAAATTTTAAATAAAAATAACTTTTTTAAAAGTTTGTAACTAAATAATTTTCTTTAACTGGTTTAAGGGCTTTTGCTTATTTCTATGTGTTTTTAATTATTGTGTGTTTTTGCTTAAATTATTTGGTGCAATTGTTTGCATAAGCAGCATTTATAATTACATACTTACATTTATTTGCATGTATGTTTGCTATGTATACATTTTTGCTTTGGAACTTTGAAGTTTTCAATAGCCGACTTTTGACTGGCATTTTTTAGTTTTCAGCTGTAAGATTTTTTTCTGTGTTTGGAAATTATTTTCTTCAAAGTTGTTTATTGTTTATTTATATTTTTTTTTTTTTGGTAGATATTCTAATAGATTTTGAATCGCAGATATTTCCATTATTGATCTTTTTTCTTCAAAACTATAAACAATTATGAATTCAAATGACATTGCAACCGAATCAAAGAAGATATTGAAATGCATGTTCTTTGTTTGCATTTCCTACAAACCAGTTGAAACTCATTGCTAGTTAACTTTCAGTGCTTCGTTTTTTTCACTTTTCAAAACATCATAAAGTGAAATGGATTTGATATACTCGTAATCATTGGTAGGGCAATTATTTTGAGTTTGAGTCTTTTTCACATTTTTATTTTTATTTTTAAGTTTGCACTTGGTTCATAACTGAATAAACCGACCACGTAAATTTTCAAACATCTACTATGTTTCGAAAATGTCTTATTGTAAGGTATCAAATACCCAAAACTAATTTTTAAACAAATCATAATAAAACATAACCACAAAATATCTTTTTTATAACATTATATAAGTAAATTTAAGAATTCAATAAACGATATGTGCATTCATGCATTTAAATAGTTTTTTAAAATTACCAAATACTTAGCTGAATTCATATGATTATTCCTAATTGTCTCAGTGACAATGAAGAAAGTTTAATAATATTTATGCATTTTCTGCAATTATTTTCATATGCATATATTCAGCAGATCTTTCAACATAATTTTTTTTAATGATTACTATATTTAAAAAATTGCATTACTTATACTTAGTTTAAAAATAATATTAATGCTTATTTTTTATTTTTTTTTAATTCTTGCATATTTTATATTTGCTATATGCGATTTAGAAATGCCATCTTTGGTTTTCACTATCTTTTAACTATATTTATTAGAATTTTTAGTATACAATATATATTTTAGTATATCAATAAATCGTACATTAAAGTAACTTGTGAAGTTCTTTACTAAACTAGATTTATATCTATTTAAACTGATTTAATTGGAATATATTAAAAAACCGAAACTAATTTATGCTAAAATTGTATTTTTACACAAAGTATTTTATTAAATTTTTTAATTTCAGTTTTTATTTTTTTTAATAAAAATGTCTACATAAATTATAATTGGTTATTTGTCATTTTAAATTTTTAGGATATGAATACAAACATTCCTAGAATAATGCAAATAATTTATAATGAACATGCAATCTTATAGCAAATGTTATTGGGTCTTTATTTACACGAAATTGGCTGCTGGGCACATGTTGCCCGTGAGAGCAGTGGTTCATAAGAGAAACAGAAACGTACTGATTTATAATAGCTACAGTGGAACTAACTTTTTTTTTAAATCGCGTAAAAAATAATATTAACAGCCGTAAACTATGTATATGTATAGTTTATGCACATTAGGGTCGTCATTAAAATCTGAAAAATATTTTATTCGACAAGTTGAAATGTTGTTATAAAAAACGTTTGTTTACCGAATTAAATTATATTTTATAGAGTTGAGAATGGAAATTGAAAAGAAAAACTCTAAATTTATACTTTAAAAATCACCCTAATATTCATACATACATATCTGTATTTACGTTCATCAAACTGCAGTACTATGAAAATTAAATGCAATAATTCAATTACAATACTGCGCGGCTGTGATTTGGTTCAACATTCAGTCCCTCTTTCACTGATAATCGACATTTTGACCCAACAAAACTTTTTGAACAACCCTAATTTGTAGGCGTATAATTATTTTTGTTTGCAATACTCTATAGTATATATCGAGTAAAATTTTACCCTTTAATCGCGTTCCTCGTATTTGCTAACGAAGGAGTTCAGGCCTTGCAGTTGAGAGCTGTCGTAGAGCGACATCTTTAGGCGTTTGCATTTGGCACGTCGATTTTTAAACCAAAACTGTACATTTTTACTTTCCAAACGGGGGAACTTTTGTCTGAAAGAAAGAGTATAAGAGGATATTAAATTATACTATAGAAAGAAAAATGGTATAAAAGTATAAAATAACGTAACATCCTTTTCATAAGTTTACAGGCGAAGAAAAACCGATATAATATTGAAACAAAAATTCAGTTTTGGTTATAAAATAACCAATGTGTAGGTTATTATATCTGATAACTACTTTAAATTTCAATTTCTAAATGTCTATCCATTCCATTCTTTCATAGCTAAAGATTCTTACTAAAAACTACCAAGTTATTGGTTGACTTTTTTTAGATTTCATAAAATTCATTAAGATACAATCAGTATTTTCGAAAAACAACCAAAATAGTTTATAAGAATAAAACAATTTTGGAAAACTGTCTGAATTTTTCCTCGAAAAATAGTTGTGCATAGACTTTTCGCGCTCTGTAAGATATCCCAACTAAAAACTAATAGGAAATCGCCAGGATTTGTGAAAGACTTTATATTTTTTTAATATTGGAGCATAAATAAAATATTATTAATGGCTTTTTCAACTCACCTATAGGGCATTGTGTTCAAATCCTCCGTGTACTTCAGTATCAGATTGTGTGATGGATGTGTATTCAATGCGAACCATTGCTCTAACTTCGGCACTTCAGTAACTGGATCGATGAAAGTACGATTCCGTTTGCGACGCTCCTCGTTCGACATGCTCGACAAATTGAGACCGCTCGGGTTCATTAGTGCATTCGGTGGCATACCGGCAGCAGCTGCTGCAGCAGCGGCATGATGCGCGTGCGGATGATTGGCAGCTGCTTGACCAAAACCCGGTATATAATGGCTCATGTACATGAATGACTGGGAGAACATCGAATTGGGCACAATTGGAAAGGGTAGATCTTTACGTTGTGCCATGGCATTAGCCAAATCTGGTGAGAGCGAACGATATTCATCCAATTGTGAGACATCATTCTCGTTGTCATCGTCATCATCTTCCAAATCGAGATCATCGTCCTCCTCTTTGGGTGAACTTATTTTGGGTGAGGAATGTGCTTGCGGTTGTGTATTAACGGCATCACAGGATTGCTCATTATTATTAATAGTACTATTATTGTTATTGCTACTACTAATGTTGTTGTTATTTAGGTTGTTTGCAGTATTGTTGTTATTGCTATTATTGTGTTCTGCTTCATTTTGCTGCTCATTAGCGGTGTCTTCATTCGAATTGTCACCGTGTTGGTCATCGGTTTGTGTGTCATTCGGCTTGGCTTGCATTTGAGCTTCTTCTTCGGTGTAGCTGCGCGAACATGAGCGTAACGACTGATTGAGTGAACCATTTAACATGGTTTCATCCTTAAACTCACCTTCGGCACCACAGTTATCACGACGACTATCGCCCAAGTCCATATTGCCTTCGGCGCCTTCGAGCGGCGAATTGCGATTACGTTCATGCGTGGTGAGCGACAGTGGTAATTGTGGTGAGCCGGGCCGGCTGTTGTCTTCATCCATGTCATCCGAGTGCTGTGACATTGTGTCCACATCTTCCGATTTCAGGCTCAAAGGACTTTTCAGGTAGTCGTGTGACATGGCTAAATTGATATTGCTGCTACTCATTTGCTGACTACCACCGCTGCTGCTCGAGCTTTGACCCAACTGACCGTGCTGATTGAGCATAAAGCCATTCAAGCCGGGATGACCAAGTGCTGCCAAGCCGCCACGCATTTCTGCTCGCTTCTGAGCGGCGCGTGCATTTTTAAACCAATATACGACATTATTAACGTCCAGTGGCTTGCGACCACGTCGCGATTCCAAGGCGTTCAACTGTACAACATAGGTTTGTATTTGCTGACGCGAGGGATGTGGATTCTCCTGAAACCATTTCTGCAATTTAGGCAATTCCATTTCTGGATCGAAACTCGTGCGCATGCGTGTTTTTTGATTTGGATACTGTGTATGTGGATGGTGATGATGATGATGCATCGAGGGATGCATGGCCGGATGTACCAACATATTGGGGTGATGCGCTGCAGCTGCCCCCTGGGGACCATGATGTGACGCCTCATTCATGAGTAGTGAATCACGACTGGCATTAAGTCCCGGTATATTACTGCCCGGCACATTGCCCACACCGCTGGCAGCATGTAAGCCAGCTTGTGCGGCTGCAGCAGCGGCAGCGGCTGCGGCAACCGCCGCTGAACCTACGGGGAAGTCCATTTCATTCGGCACTGATGACGGCGCTGTTAGGAACGGTAACATTTTTGGCGTAATACTAGATTGTGGCGTGAGTTGTTGCGACCACCACTGGTCGAACTTGCGGCGTAGCTCATCGGAAATCTCGCCGGCGGGAAAAGAATACGGATTCTGGTAAGAAGTTCGGCATATTTGTGAGAGCGTCATCTGTGAGTGAGAGTAGGCAGAAAGTATATAACATTTTGTATTATTTTGTGAGAAGAATATTAGGAGATATTTTTTTAATATTTCCAAAAAAAATTTTATTAGATTTAATTGTAGTTATTAATAAATAGGTGTATATAGGAGCTGAAACTGAATGTATCATACTGGAAAACTAATAAAATAATTGCATGGATATAACAGCTAGTTCTTTCCACTTTAAGCATATTTACTTTAAAATTAGTGACGCGCTAACTTAATAACGAAATGCTTATTTTTATAAACTGCACTCATTACCCAATTGATCCCATGACTGCTGATGCCCGAAATTTCCCAACTACTTATAATCGACAATGGCTCCATTTTTTAGCCCATAAGTACACAATCAGGCCAATAAATATTAGCGTTTGCAATGTATGCACTTGACTAGACCGTTTTTCCAATAACACAAGTTAATGCGCTGCCTAAGCCCAAGCAACAACAATGCAATGTCATTAGCCAACAGATAACAGACAAGAGTTGAGCTATTGAACAACTGAAAGCCCACTATAAAACTATATAGAAGTATATATGGAGCATACATTAATGTATGTATATACACGTATGCGATTTCGAGCAAGTGGTAATGCAATCAACCAGCCAACGAAATTCAAACCTTATTAATCCTCCTACTAATAACCGAACTCAACGCAACATGTGCGTTCGCTTGTGCCCAATACTGAACATACACACACACACACATGTGTTGTATGCATGCATGTATGTGTGTTATGGTATAAAGCGCTTTAACACAGCAAACATAAATTTTCCAACCCACTTCTGTCACCTGCTAAGTGTACGCCATAAAAATCACGACACAATATTGTAGGCCTTTCGAGTGCTGTGGGATTCGTTTAGCTCATAAATGGGTTGGCGTGATTGCAAGACGTTAAATCACTTCAAATTTCAAATTGTTATTCATTACGGTGACAGCTGATATCAGCAAATATATTCACACATGAATGTATATATACATATATATGTACATATGTATGTACTATGCATTTATATAAATGATTACTGCTTGGGCCCAAAGATAATTGGCACTTGGTTTGCACCATACATTTTGACCATCGTTTGTGTTTGCGCGTATGAATAGTGGCATTAGCGCTAAGTCAACAAAAACAATAACATTTAACACAACCGCGCTAGATAGCCTTAACTATAAACCAAATATGATTATTTTTTTGATCGCGAGGTATAGACAAGAACGGCGTTGCTTAAGCTCATAAGATAAAAACAAGCAAAAAGAGAATTACCAATACACATACCATAACTAAATGTATATACAAAATGTGCTTTACATAACCCATACTTTGTAAGTAAAGGTTATTGCATTGGGTAATGCCCGGCGCGATATCGGTTACCATTATCAGCTAAAGAAGACACCCTAATCACTTAAGCTGCATTTGGCATTACGCAGAACAGTTTGTGGCTATGCATGTACCTACACACATATGTATAAGTATACATATATACTTTTTTATTTTATTTTATTTTTTAATATTTTTGTTGTGTGCCACTGGTTTTAACCTGTCTCTTATACACATCTAGATGTGTATAAGAGACAGGTTTGTGGCTATGCATGTACCTACACACATATGTATAAGTATACATATATACTTTTTTATTTTATTTTATTTTTTAATATTTTTGTTGTGTGCCACTGGTTTTAACAGTGGTGATTTTGCTGCTGACGCTTATGCGCAATAAATTGCATGATCGCTTACTTAAGTTATTTTGATTTAGTTGTAGGCTTAATGGTAAAAATATTAATACCTGATAACGCATAAAACCCCTATAAATGCATGCTGTTGCACGATATTTACAACAGTGCATGACAATGTTTGATTTTGTAATCAAATCGAGCTGCAACAAATCAAAGCATGAATACCAAAGCTTAGATAAATAATTAGATAAACACTTATGTATGTATACCGACTCAAAAGACCGCTTCCCTGACAAGAACCCATTACAAATTTCGTCGACTCACATTAAACAGATTTTGATACATTTGCTTGATTCCGATCGTTCAGTTTGTATGATAGCTATATGCTAGAGTGCTCCGATATCGCCAAATTAAAAGGTTTTTAATTTATACTTCGCGTGTTTTTCGAATCGGTAAATTTTTTTCTGTAAGTTGGTAGTACTCTTAGTGACATCTATGCTAAATTTAACTCAAAATATTCATTAGTATTTGATACACGCGTCTCTCCGATTTTTGCTATGTCTCAATTTATTGAAGAAAGAAGTGCGATAATGCACCATCTCATACTGCATTGGTTATTCGTGATCATTTCGCCAAATTTTCAACTACATCGTGCGGCAAAAACGGCATTCACCTGATTTACCTTCGTGTAACTTCTGGCTATTCAGCGAATTCACACGCCCACCCGGTGTTGACCCAATTGAGGATATAAAAGCTGAATCGGAGAAGGCTCTGATAGGTATCACGACGGAGGATTTTTCCAAGTGCTATGATGACTGGAAAATTCGTTGGCATAAGCGGGAAGGGATTACATTGAAGGATATGAAATGGACAAAATTCACCTTTCAATTTGATCACAATGGTATATATATTTTAAGAGGCCTCTGGCGTTTCCTTCTGGGGAAATATTCCTGTATTTGTGGAAAAAGTCGGTGAAATTATTGGTATCGATTCATATTTTACTACGTTTTAATGTTGACTGAGGGACTAAATATGAGGAAAAACACTTTTAATTTGGGTATAAAAAATGTCTTTTCGCGTTTTCTTCCACGTGAATAAAATATATATAAAAAAAGTGAACAAGGTTTTGATAAAAACAAAAACGGATTTCTCTCATCAACCACCCCCAGTATTTACCTAATCTGTCACCATATGACTATTTTGAATTTCCAAAATTGAAAATTAACATGAAAACAACTTACAATAATATCCCAGCCATTCAAGCAGCCGGAAATAAGGTTCTGAAGCACACTGCTTTAAACGATATAAAAAATCTTTGGTAGATCATTTCATTGTACTGAGTATAATAGAGTATATTTTCAATAAATACTATCCAAATCTACGTATTCGAATGTCCACAGTGTCCGAGAACCCTTTGCTAATTATGGAATAACTCGAAAAATATTTATTGGATTTACTTAAATTTTTCAGAGAATACTTTTAATACTTGTAATACTATCAGAAAACGTAAGAAATCTCCAATATTGTGATTCTTACCATGATAGACATCAATTTCACATTAAATAATTTGCAGAAATTGTTAGAACAGTTGCACGAAATATTGCTTCTTACAACATTTTGTGCAAAAGTCTTTTAAATAAAAAAGCGGAATTTTTTAAATCCATAACTACCCACTTCTCATCCAAAAAATTACTCAAAATGTAGTCAAGAGCTTTATTGTTCATCATCAAAATCATTAATAATTTCTTTAGTCAACTTGCCTTTTCAGTATCAGTTCAATACAATAAGATAATACTATAGAAACAAAAATAGCAACAAATCCAAATTAATGAAATGTACAAACAAAAACAACAGTATTTCACTAAAAAGGTTTCTTGCTTTGTTTATCACATGATCAGCACTTCGCTTATTACGTATATAAAATTAATATAAAATAATTAACTTGACAGAAAGAGAAATATACTGATTTATTTATCAATGGCATCGGTACGAAGCAAAACGAGGACTTATAGCAGTACAAATCGAATGTACTGTTATAAATTCACCTGAGCAACGAATTTCACTTGATTTATCATGCGTTAAGCTTGTAATCGCAAATATTTGCTATGAGTCAAATGACAATTTTAGGAAATATTTGTATGAGTCAAATATTTGCCGCATAGATAGATAGATATACATATGTATGTATGTATAAGAATAGCTGTACAAATAAGATAAGGGTTGAGCTTAGCGAAAATTAATTTCCAAGAACGCTGTTATTGGGTATTTATAAGTAATATACAAGCTAGATTATATTTGAAAATAATTAGAAAAGCTAACATTCTGTAAAAAAAAACAAGAAAACACGTTAGTTTTGACTGCACCCTTACCCTTGACAGGAGCATTTATTACGGTAACTATATGTGTGATTAATTCTTAAAATATATCAGGCCAACGGAAAATGTTTTGTTAGCATTTTCTAACGACATTGTTTGATATAACCAACACTCACGTCGGATTATGGGATTACATGGGTTTACGGGTTTAAAAATGTATTATCTTAGTAAGTTCTACAATACCTCTAGAATATTTTCCAAAAGTTTCAAGTTTATCCTGGTAACAGTTTCGGAGATACAGCTTTGAGAATTTGTGCGCTCGAGGATAAGTGGGCGAAACTGTGTTGTTGAAGTCGATTGGCAAGATTTCTCAAGAACTCCTCAACCGATCTTCAAGAAATTTTACACTGGGCTTTGATTTAAGATTGTATGTTACCCGAGGAAACCCACGTAATCCCTTAAGGTTAGTTAAAATAATAATGAAAAAATATTTTGTATGAAGATCTTGATATAAATTTTGACCGGTCATATATCTAAAAAATTTGTTAGGTGATTGTACTGCTGCTTAGGAAAATAATCCACGCCAAATTTAGTGAAGAAATATCGATCAAATCAACAAAAAAAAAAAAAAATTCCATGCAAGGCCGTGGTCTTGATCGATCAGTTTGTATGGCACCTTTATACTATAGTGTACAGTTCTGACAAATAAGCAGCTTCTTGTGGAGAAAAGAACGTGAGTTCAGATCATTATCTCAAAAACTGAGTTACTGATTCGCGTATATACAGATATACATACATGCAGGGTTATAGGCAGACATTGCCAAATCGTTTCAGCTAATAATGGGGACCTTTAAGGGATCTTCCAAAATTTCGTTCGTGCTATTACAAATTCGTGACATGCTGTTTAGGTAATAATAATCGGTAAAAGTGATTCCGCTGGTTGTGTGAACGCTATTTAACTGAAGTTTTTGTTTTTAATCTTATATAAATGCGGCATAGCTATATTATAGTATTAAATACATAAATTATATTTCACAATATTTTGTTGTTCACAAAAATTGAGGTTAGGTTAACTTTTAAATGGCATATTGTAGGTTTTTTATAAATAAAACGTGAAGACTGAGTAATTTCATTGGCATATGCATCAACTAAGCGCGGTTAGAGCTCAGCATCACTAGGGTTACCTAATCTATCTAGAAGATGAAAGAGTTATTGGGCGCTAATTACACGAGGGTTTCCTTTATGTTAGCAGCGTGGGAAGGCAATGTAACTTTGCGTTCAATGTAAAACGCTACAAATTACGGTTACTTTACAAAATAAATTGATTCAAATGCGGATTAACTTCATATAAATTCTATATACATACCGTTATATACTATATCGAAGCATGTATATATTTATGCCTAAGTACAGGATATGGCGCAAAACACTGAAACTGTTTTTATTGCTTTGGTTTGGAGGGTGGGCGGTTTTCACAGGTATGCAGGCGGGTTCTCGTTTACTTTTATGCAAAAAGCTTTTAGACAATAAACCGATTAGTGACATAAAATACTTAAATACCCATTTTGTTAGTTTCTTTGTTGGCGATAAACCGATTTTGTCGCATATTTCTTAAGTTCAAAGTGAATATGTGAAGAAATGCTAATTAAAGTTTACAACTACATATTTTGAATTGTTAGTAATGCGGTGTATTACTATTGGTTACTAGAAAATAAGCATTAAAAATATAAGCTAGTAGGGTAAATGAGACCACCTAAGAATATTACTTTTATGCGAAATTTGATTTAAAAAATAGTTTTCAGTAAAATGTTTGCTTAAAAAAGTACTAAGAATGTTCCTCGCTTTATATAATTACTTAAGAAAATATTTTGAGAATAAGTTTTAAATATTTTTTTAATCAACTTAACAATTGAAAATTTCAATCAATAGTAATCCTCTGAGCTGATATATTGAAAATATTTATTTAAGTGTGGAAAATAGCAAATATTGAAGTATGTTTGAAATCAAAATAATAAAAATTAGTTTTATACTTATTTTAAAAAACAAATTTTATATTAAGCTACTGAAATTCATTGCAAACTCACCTCATCAAGCGGACAACCGGTGGAGCGCAATACTGTATGAGATTGCAAAACGAGCAGTTTCAATAACTTATCCTTAATTTCACCGAAAGTCGACGGTTTGGAACGCAAAATGACTATACGAAGTGTAATAACCGAAGTCAACTCGCCTATAATATCACTGACGGGCACAACTGGATTATCGGAGATCATTTCCAAAGGTATGGGTTTCCAATTCTTTATCATAATAGAACCTAAGCATACAAAATCATAAAAAAATGAAAAAAATTGCAAATTTATACATGTATGTACATATGTGTATAGTATATGAATTCTATAGAGTATTAGTTCAGACTCACCTCTTGCCGTGTTAACCGCCTCCTGTGAGTAGCCCAGTCGTTGTAGCGCAGTCTGCACCAATTCCGACCAGGGCGTTGCCGCAGCCATAATCACATAACTATCTGTCTCGATATTCGTACGCCGCTTCCATGGACTACGCGAGTCGATGGCGAGCGAGGCCTGCAACGAATGCACCGATTCGACGACACAATGCAACGGTAGCGATTTCGCTGTAAGTAGAAATGGTGAAAGCTTTGTTTTAGTATTAAAGATATTAAAGAAATTTCGAAATAATAGCACAAAAATGAAGAAGTTTTCAGCAAAAAGCGATGTAATTTACGAGAAAATATTTGATTGAATAAACAAAAGCTTTCTTACGATATGTTGAGCTCATTTGTATATTGATCTTTTTTAGTAGGTAAAAAATACTGATATGTAATCCCAAAGTACAGTGCCTGAGCGCTGGCGGCTGACAGTATGGGCGAGTGCTTATACGTTACTTACAAATATTACATATCTTGTGTATTTTTATTATTCTGAAGGTTTCTTAAAGATTTTATTGCTTTTAGGGAATCTTTGGGAAGAAGTTACACTTTGACTTAGGTTGAGTAAGTTTATTTATAGTGGAAATTTCAGCTGGAAAACTGTCTTTAAAGCACTTTGATACTAAATCTACATACTTGCTCAAAATAATAGTTACACGATAAAACTTTGTACTCTCAACAGTATAAAAAACTTTTTATGGGCTGTATGCGACAAGTTATGCTATAAGTTTAATTAAGATAATATAGCATCGCCCTTTCTAGGCGAATGAAGCATACGATCAACCAAATTCGGTCGGAAGTCACATTGCAATGTTGAAGAAGCCTGGCTGGTTTCAAACGTCAGAAAGTCAGGAAAATCGTGGAAGGCCACAAAAAACCGAGTACAGTTCTTGATCGCCACATTGTAACTCTTTGTAAAAAGGACCCATTCAAGTCGTCGCAGGTGATAGCAGCAGAAATTGGAAATGTAGTAAGTGCCCAAACAGTTCGCAGGCGTTTGTAAAAGGCCAAACTACCAGAACGAATGGCCAGGAAAGTTCCATTACTGCGAACAAAAAATTTGGATATGAGGTTAAATTTTGCAAGATTGGTCAGAACCTGAGGGAACAAAAAAGTGGAGAAACATCTTATGGAGCGATGAAACGAAAGTAAATTTGTTTGGAAACGATTGGGAGAGAAATGTGCGTCGTCCAAAAGGAAAGGAGTTTCACGTTCGATTCACCAAAAAAAGTGTGAAGCATGGAGGTGGAAACGTCATGGTGTGGGGATGTTTTTCTTGGTATGGAGTAGGTCCTATATACCTTACAACTAACAAAATGACAGCGTCGGAGTACAAGGAAATACTTGAAAATRTCATAATACCCTTTGCTGAAGAAAAATTACCATTACGTTAGATATATCAGCAAGATAATGACCCAAAACATACCTCCAAACTGGTTAAAAAATATTTTGAAGATAGTAATGTTAACGTTTTGAAGTGGGCAAGTCAATCCCTGGATTTAAATCCAATAGAAAACCTATGGGGAAAACTAAAAAAAAATTTGGCGAGTCAATCTTTCTCTAACAAAGACCAGTTGTGGGAGTGCATACAAAACACTTGGTATGAGATACCTAAAGAAAAATGTCAGACTTTAATCAGTAGTATGCCCAAACGAATAAATAAAGTAATTCAGAATAATGGTGGTAATATACAACAAAACTGTTTTATCATAATTTGATTTTCCAAAATAATTGTCTTATTAAACGTGTACTAATTTTTTTGAGCAAGTTTATTTTAGCTAAGAAATGTTTTTAGATCTATATTTGTTTGTTTTGCATTTCCTTAAACAAAGTTTATTTAAATAAGCTTGTAAATATTTTAAAAATATAAGAATATTTGCGTTTTTCTTTAAAATTTAAATAAAACTTTTTATTCATGAGCTTTACTTGAAAAAGTATTGTGTAACTATTATTTTGAGCAGGTGTGTATATATGTATATATACATTGAATTTTTAACATTTAGGAAATTTAAATATTTACAAAAAAATTATAAATATGAATTTAATTCTTTAGCGCTAAATATATATGTAAATATAAAATTTATAAAATATGTTTCAACAACATTAAAAAATATTCCAAATATGCCCTAACAAAATTTGTATTTAAAATATCTGCTATTGTGTATGAAGTATGCATATTTACAAGGTTGTTGCTATTAACAACCTTCAGTAGCAATTTTATTTGACATTTATCAAATGTATGTAAACAAAAATTTGTCAATTAAAAAATAGTTCAAAAACGACGCATAAAAGTAAAGTTCATAGGAAAATTACATAACATTGCAACCGACATCCCGAAAGCAGTCCCGTACATAACCCGAAATTTCCGAAATTCAATTTCGGGGTATTCATTCACTTGAATTGCTAAACAGTAATGCTCATAAGAGAATTACAACACATTGGAAATTAAGAGGAGTTATGAACAATAAGTTACAACAAATTGCATCGGAATTCCGAAAGTAGGCCCGTAAATATGCCGAATTTTTCTAAATTGAATTTCGAGGTGTTATTCATTCACTTGAATTGGTAAACAGTAATTATTATAAGATAATTACAACACATTCGCGAAACTGTTCGGGATGATTTCGGGATTTTCCAAAATTAAAGAATTATAACACATTGCACCGGGATCCCAAAAGTAGCCCCGTATATAACCCGAAATTTTCGGAATTTTCCGAAATTAATTTCGAACTACTCATTTAATTTATTTAAAAAACAGTAATACTTATAAGACAATCACAACACATTGTGCCGGGGTACCGAAAGTAGCCTCGCATATAATCCCGAATTTTCCAAAATTGAAGTTGGGGGTATTCATTCACTTGAATTGATAAACAATAACTTTTATAAGAGAATTACAACACATTGTCTTAGGACCACGTAGTCGTGATTGTTATGAGGAAAATATAATATTTTATGTCGGGATCCAAAACCCTTTTCCAGAGGTTTTCGTTGATTGAGTTGAAAAGCAGTAATTGTTATGAGTTGATGATGTTATGAAATAATATGTAACACCTACATCCCGAAACCCATCCAGGGTTAATTAACATCCGCATATACACGAGTATAGAAGCCTTGCTTTAAATTTGTACGCTCCTACCTGTATTCTTGCAATCCTGCCATAAGTCTTGTGCCTCTTTATCATCATCGATTTTCAAAGCAGCAATCTCTAGCATTTTTTCTACGTACATAAATGGTATTTGTTTGAAATTTGCGAATTGTAGAGCAAAAATGTGGCGATGCTCGAAATACCACTGATTAGATTTTTATATCCTTTTGCAATCCTTTGCATGGATTAATTTCATTTAATTTTAACTTTCTTTTTAGTCGTAAAATTATTTTTTGCTGTTTTTTGTTGTCGACTCTGCAGTACATGCGAATTGTTACAGCCAATGGGGCTAGTCAACGAGCACATAAATAGCTTCAACAGCTAATTAACACATGCACTGGCTTAAGCAAAGAAAAGCCAATAAAAATTGCACACAAAATCGGAAAATTTAGAACAACTGTTAACGGCAGTGAAAATCTTGCGACTAATCTGATTTCGACGGGAGATCGCAAAACAAAAAACCAAAAGATTTGGGTTCAGTTACAAATTAAACATTTACATTCATATATACCTACAAATGTATAAATATAAAATCTACGGAAAGTTTTTAAATTTGTAAAACAAATGCGTAATTTATAATAAAATGCGCAATAATATTTTGTAAAAAATGCGTAAAAAAATAATATTTTAAATACGTAAAAATAAATCTGATTTATAGATATTTTCCAAAAAATCTGTCTCAAAGTGCGTTTTAATTTTATTATTACAAATTTTCACATCCATTGATATATTTCGCGAACAAGCAAGCACAGTGTTCTAATGTCACATAGCAAATTATAGAAATAATCAAATTAAATGAATTTATTATCACAAACCTAACCAAAGGAATATTACATTGATTATTACATCACATTTATGCCAAATCGCTTTAGCTTTCCCCAGAGCCCAGTAAAAAATTAATACTCATTTGAGAAGAAAGCATTACGCTTAATGGAATAGCTATCTTTCATATTAGCGCTGCTTAGCCGTAAACGCTCACTCGCCCACATCACCTTAATGACCTTATCAGCGAAACGTTGTTCACACATAAATAAATCCTGTGACAACTGCTCAGCGCCCACAAGCTGAACGGCAAAAAAGTTATTGTAACAAAAAACATGTTACAAGAAAAAAGTTATCCCAACAAAAACGATATTACAAAAAAAAAAAAAAAAGTATATAAAAAGAGAAACAAAAACCAGCATCGCTGTGAACTTATCGGCAGCACATTGCCGTTAAAGCCACGTCTTTCCGGCACAAATACAAGCGCAGCCAATTGCAACGGCTAACGATAAACCACTGCTAAATCACCCCCTTACAATCATTTCGTACAATTTTTTTTTATTGACAGCTAGGCGCGTGCCGACTTCGTTGCAGTGGCTTAAGTTGAAGACGAGCGTGCGCTTCCGTGAGTGTATGCGTGTAACTGTGTATTTAAGTATGAATTTCATTTAAAATTGTCTTGAGCTGATACCGAGCCGATGCGATTTACTTTCTACGGCTTTCAATTATTGCTATCGTTGTTGTTGTTGCGGCGTTCTTTGATTTATCTGTCTTTCTGTGGCAACAGCTTCATTATTTTCATATTATTACGTGCTGTGCGCTTGTCTCTAGTATTAAATCCCCGTGCAGCTGATTGCGGATTGTACTTTGTGTTCCTGTTTAATAAATCCACAGCCACTTAATATCGACTGGTGGCTGTTTGAGACCGTTAAGGAGCATGTATTGAATTTGGTGCTTGCTATCTATTTTTTTGGTTGCTACAAATTGAAAAGATGGCATTATAGAACGATGTTTTTGGAAGGAGTGCGGATTTATCATATTACTTGGAATATACTTAATAGGTATGCCAATAGATTATAGGACATGAGTGGTTCACTATTTAAGGTAATAGTGGGTTTTATTTTGGTATTAATAAGTAAATAATTTGAGTTTGTTTTATAATCGCATATGGTATACTATATGTCAGATATAATAACCAATATATATCCATTTCGTAACCAAAACTCAAATTTTGTGTTAATAAGAGTGTATGATAACTAGTATAAAAATATAAAAA